CACACACACACACACACACACACACATATATATATATAGAGAGAGAGAGAGACAGAGACAGAGAGAGAGAGAGAGAGAGAGACAGAGAGAGAGTTGTTAAGTGTGTCATGGACAACTCATAGTGACCCTATGAATTAAAGACCTGAACACTTGTATAGCTTTCATTGTTTCTTCAAGTTTATAGGGTTTCCAGAGACAAGTGGATGCCACTCCTGCTTCCAAGCTTGTTTTGATCAGGGAGCTCCACCAAACTCTGTCCAACATGAGTAACCATTATAGCATTTGATGCATCAGTGTCACAGTGTTTGGCGTCACAGCAACCACGAGCTACCTCTGTACAGAAAAAAGACAGACCAGTGCTATACCACTTAAAAGATATATATTATGACTACAGGAAATGTGCTATACTACATGAAATTTACAGTCATGTACTATAATCTCATAGGAAAATATGAAATAAATGTATTTCCTCTATTCTTTATATAGTCTGTAGAAAGCTGCATTGTTAACTCAAAGACCTGGATGCTTCTGCAGTTCAAATCCACCAGCCTTGAGGGAGACTGATACATAAAATGTGTGAATGAACAGTGTGGATGCTGACATTCCAAGTGACTGAAGCCTTATTAAAGATATAGTGTGATTAATAGAAACAAGAAAATGAGAAACCTCAGCCTGTTGTTAAAATTTTTTTAGTAAACCAGTTTAAAATTATCACAATGTCTAACTTGAAGTTGTGTTAATAAATAGCTCTCACATGTCACTAGACTAGACATTGAGGTCATTGAAAATAAGAAGCTTAAGAAGCTCTAAAGTATAATCCATAAAATTTGTATTAATAATAGCTTCTATGCACACCCATGTTTATCGTGGCTTTCTTCACAATCGCAAGGAGTTGGAAATAACCTAAGTGCCATCAACAAATGAATGGATGGAGAATCTGTGGTACATTCACACAATGGAATATTATTCTGCATTGAAAAACAAGGAACTCATGCAATATTATTCAAAATGGGTGACCCGGAAGGACATTATGCTGAACGAAATATCAGTCACAAAAGGACAAATACTGCATGGTGCCACTGTTGTAAAACAGGACTGACATCAGGGTTGGGGAAGAGACTGAGAAAGATGGGATGAATAGTGTATACTATTGAAACAGATGAGGGAGAAAACTGTCTAAAGGGATATGTGATTAGGTATTTTTGTCATGACGGGAGTCCAGAGCAAAGAAGGCTGCATAGTGGAGTGGACCTGGGGGGAGGGACTGTAAAACAATGAAAGAATTTTTCTTTTACTTTTCCAAGAAGGGAGTGTATGGGGGGGTAGGTTTGGGAGGGGAGAAAAGTGCAAAAATAAATGAATGGAAATCCAAAGTCTCTGTAAATTTTTATTGGAATTAATAATAAATAAAAATATATTAATAATAGCTTCTAGTTGTATAATGACTAAGGATGACAGAAGAAGAATTTATATCTTTGAACTGTAGTGCTGGAGAAAAGTCTTGACCATGGGCTGCCAAGAAAACAAATAGGTATGTCTTGGAAAGGGTGAAACCAAGGTTCTGTTTGGAGGCTATGATTTTGAAGCTCCATTTTACATACTTTGGGCAAGTGGCCAGGATGACCAGTCCTTGAACATCATGCTCGGAAAGGTGGAGGGACAGCACAGGACAAGAAGACCCCAGGTAAGACGGATTGATACAGTAACTGGGGAAATGGGGGTTGGTGTGTCGGAATTAGTGAGACTGGCTCAGGACAGAGCAGGGTTCAGAGCTGCTGTACATTGGTCAATATGGATCACAGACAACTTGATGGCACATAACAACAACAACAAGTGGCCTATGATACAGTGAAGTCT